GCCTTCCAACCACTCCTCCCACCCCACCACCCGGGGCGGGGGAAAAGGCGTGAGGGAGCTTCCCCGGCAGTTCCGGGGGCCGGCGGCGGCGGCGGCTTCCTCTTCCCCCTCCCTTGCCGTCCCCCACGGATTCCATTCTCCCGCGGCGGCCTTCCTCACCTGCTTGTTCCTTGGATAAGGCTTCGAGGAGGCCGCTGCCAGATGATACCGCCGCGTCCGGATCTTTCCGCCGCCCCCGCCGACTCCGCTTTCCCCCGGATCCATGTTGGTAGTTGTTCCGAGTCTCCCTCCCACCCACCCACCCACCCTCCCTCCCTCCCTTTGGCGCGCGGCGCAAACACAGGCAAGGCCCGGCCTGGCCCGGGCCGACCCTGCCCTCCCCCCCCCTCGCCGCCGCCGCCGCCGCGCGGGCTCCCCTCTCACACTCTCCCCCCCTCCCCCTCCTGCTCTTCCTCTCGCCCCCAATCCCGTTCTGTGCTGTCACTGTCTCTATGGCGATGCCTCGCACCACGCAGCCGGCCTCGCGCCCTCACAGGATGCTTCCCTTTAGGTTTTTTTTTTTGGGCTGGCGCGCGCGCGCGCCGAATCCGTCCCTACCGCCCCGCTTTCTCCTCCCTTTCCAGCCCCCCCCCCCCCCCCCCCCCGTCACCGTCTAGCTTGTTCGAGGTTTTCCCCCTCCTTCCTTCTCTCCCGACCAACCAGAGGGCACGCATCGGCCCAGATTTTCGTCACCAAGCAGCGACTCATCTGGTGCATCATCCCGCGTTTGAACGCCCAAAGCCCTTGTGGGAAATGTAGTTGGTTTTTTTTTTTTGAGAGGGGTTGCGCAGAAGCAGAGCTGTCGACCTGACTTCGGCGATTGACCAAAGGAAGCGCTAGGCGCTGGTGACGCAATCTCGCGATACGTTCTGAAGCGGAGCTTTGGATATTCTGAAACTAAAAGTCTTTTTTTTTTGTTTCTTTACCGGCCTTGTAAAGATCTCCTGTGCTTGTTACTCTCTTAGACATAGAGGCCCTAACTCTGAAGGACATAATCCGTCGTCTTTGAAACTATCCTTCCAATACACTTGGAAGATCTTCATTATCCTCGTCGTGGTTTTACCTACCTAGTAGATAAAAACTGAGGGAATCGTTCTATCTAAATGCTTTTGATTGCGGTGATAGGAGTTAGCAAGGCAATTTCTAGCAATTTCCTAATGTATGAAATTCTCTAGTTCAGGGGTCGCCGGCTTTGGCCACTTTAAGCCTGGCGGACTTCAACTCCCAGCTGGCTGGGGAATTCTGGGAGTTGAAGTCTGCCAGGCTTAAAGTGGCCAAAATTGGAGACCCCTTTGTTTAGCTCGCAACCATTTTTTTCTAATGATTAACTAAACTAAAGATAGGCAAATGATTCCTTCCACAAAGGTGCTTTGCATAGAAGGTGCTTTGCCTCGTCTGTGCATAGATGGTTGTGTGTTTTCAATCCGTGCCTGGAAATGAAATGGGGTTGTTTTGTTCTGGGTCTGGCTGAAAGGCAATACAGTATTTAGAGCAGCGATTGGTGCAACAGGTAGGCTGGCACAAAAACCGTGGAAAGCAGGAAAGGGGAATGATAGAATGCACCATAGAGAGTATTTTAACTTACTGCACTTCTGTATGGTTTGCCAATTGCACAGTGGCAGATAGGAAAGCACTCCAGAGGGTTAATGTCATTGCCCAGAGGATCATTGGTTGCCCTCTCCCCTCTTTGGAAGAGCTTTATAGCTCCCACTGCCTTAAGAAAGTTCAAAACATTCTCAAAGATCCATCTCATCCTGGGAATCCTTTTTTTGAACTATTACCATCTGGCAGACGGTACAGGATAATAATAAAAACAAGGACAAATAGGCTGAAAAACAGCTTCTATCCCAGGGCTCTTTTGAATTCTACTGTATAGTGCAATGTTGGTGCAGTGTCAGGGATTTTCGGTTCAATGTGTGGAGGGTGAAGGATGTGTGTTTGTGTTTATTTTCATGGTCATGGTCATGATATGCACTGAAGATGGTGTTTGACTTCATTGTACGAGGTGCAATGACAATAAAGTAAGCTAAACTAAACTATTTGCCCTGCAGATACACTCCGGAATCTTGTCTATGGACAAGAATGGAAGAAACTTCTTGGATAAGAGGTGAAACTCTGGTTTTGTTTTGCTTTTAAAAACCAGAACAAAATCAAATTACTTTTTGGAAAAAGCACCTTTGGGATTCTCAAATCTTGTTTCAGTCGAAACCTGGGTGCCTGCAATGACTGCTTTGGATTGAAATTTATTTCAAATTGAAACATTTTTCATTTGTGCATATTCCAATCTTCTATTGAGAAGAATTGCTTAGAAAGTGATATGTTTTAAGTGCGAAGGAAGATAAATATCTTTAAGAATACCTTAGAAAGTGATAAATATCCTTATCAAAGAGTACTGTTTTCTACTGATTTCTTCCAATATTATGATTACATTGAGCACATTTACTAGGGTAATTTGTATAAATACTACTGCATAGTTTGGAGGGATGATCTAATATCTAAATGTGTCCTGAAGATATTACATATTTAATAACAAAACCACAATTATTTGAGATTTTATGTAACTTTTAGAACTAGCCATAATTGTATAGTACTGTGATCTATATGATCTGAGGTTCATCAAAGTTCTATAAATTAATACCAACATTTTGGATAAACAACATGCACTGTATCATTGCTTTATTGAAACATTGAGTCAACTTTTTTTAAAGAGATAATTTCAGTCAAAGGTTTTCATAATTTGATCAGTGGTTAGTTTGGAGATATCTTGGGCCACTACCATTTATATAACTGCCTCAATTTATTGATACTTTAGGACTGCCTTGCATGAATTTCTCACTTTAGTTCATACCACATAGGTTAAATCAGGACTTTAGCAGCACCATTCCCAGCATGCAACATTTTTTCTACTTCACCTATTCTATACATACTTGTGTATATAAAATCATGGTTTGTGCTTCATGACCTACATACCCTTAGACCAGTGGTCGCCAACCAAAGCACCCCCCAAAGCAATTAATCCAGGCTGTGCAGGAACACAAGGCTGCACCTCCCACATGGCCTGAGGGAACACAAGGATTGCTTCGCTTGCATTGCGAACAACACGAAGTAGTGGGGGCAGGGGGGAAACTTGCCCCACATGCCTGGCCTGACCACCAGGCTGCTTCTTTCTGCTTCTTTCTTCTGCTTTTGGCTGCACGCAAGGAAAGCAGCAAAAGTCTTTCTTTCCCCCAAACTCCACCAGAAATGAGTCTTTGGGACCCTGCAAGGCATCCTGCTCCAAGAGGCTGTGCTGGCGCGATAAGTCTCACAAAGACTCATTTCTAGCGGAGTTTGGGGGAGAGAAAGACTTCTGTTGCTTCTGCTATTTTTCTTGCACAAAGTCAAAAGTCTCTCCCCCACCCTGAGAACGGAGCCGGAGACGGTATCCTGCGATCCCAAATAAAGAATGATCGATCAGTAGGAAAACAGGGTGGGGAATTTTCCTGCAGACTTTTTTTTTGGATTTTCCCAGGGTCTCTGGTCCGTGTGATTTAAATTTATGAGTTTGGGGGTTCCTGAGGTCCAAAAGGTTGGCGACCCCTGCTTTAGTCTGTCCACATCAGTTAAATGGATGGATAACATCTTCCTGTAAATTTGCCATTTGTATATTCCAACATTTCTGTACTTTTCATTTTCTTCAAACATAACACATCTCATTAAGGCCAAATTTCATTTTTGCCCCATTTATTCACAGGGCTTGTTTCCGACAGTCTGCTGGATCAGTCAGACCATGGGCAGCATTGTTTTCTATAATAATGGTTTCTGCTTAGTATACTCCCAGGTACACTACTCTCGTTCAGGTTTTATGTGCACTCATGAACTCTTGGCACTGAAGAATACAAGAATGATCTAGAAATATTTTGCTTTTACCCTCGGGTGCCACCTCCCAGTGTTGCATTTCTTTTTTGAGGAGCAATTTTGTCAGATGAGCACTCATGGGAAGAGTTAGTTTTGTTTCCCAATTTCTATACTAATTCAGTGTTGTTTTTTACGATTTGTAGACCTCCAGCTTTGTAGATTTCATCAGCATCAGAGAATCTTTTTCTGACGTCTGCAGATGTTGGTTTTGATGGCATAATTTAGTTTTACAAATCTGTGTTGCAGAGCAGATAACCAGCATTGTCACAGAAAGGGCATGCTTCCTAACTCACATACGGCATAATTTAGGGAAAGGAAGTAGGAGCATGCTCACCCTATCTGACATAGTAGGATAAATTATCCTTAGGAAAAGGCAATTCGGTAGATAACCTGGCCCTGTGCCACTTAGGGTTTGTTTGATTTGTATGTCTTTCTTTCAGCAGCTGAACATAGTACATAATTCCCTCTATTTATTCTACAATTCCTCGAAGACCCCAAACTTAAGTCTCTTAGCTACAAATACACAATTACAATTATTATAAATTCACATATCAGGTTGTACTTTGCATTATTTATAAATTAAAAAATGGATTTTAAGGAGATACAGGTAAAATAGCTATCTTGTACTTGACTTTATCTACAGGACAATTTAGATTTCTCAGTGAAACACATTACTAGAAAAAAAAATATCAAGTTTAGTTTCAAGGATTACTAACTCACTGCTAAAATTTGTAATGTTGCATGCTGAAGCTGTTTATACCACCATGGTTGTTTCTGCAACGTGTGAAAGTATAATCCAATAAAAATGCGTTTCTGGACACTTACTTCTTGAAATGAATATTTTAATAAAATATCATAAGCAAGACATCAGATACCAATAAATAAATGGTCTTTTTGTTCTTATATATTGTCTTGCATGATGTCAACTTGCCAGATGAATCAAAAGTCCACCCAATTTAATTCCGCCTCCACCAGAAATCAACTAGGTTAATGTGCCACTGAGGATCTAAGTACCAAGTAGGCATATCCTTTATGGTAAAAAAAAAAAAGATTTTACAAGAGTGTTTGCAGAAACAAAGTTTTATTATTTACATAAGCAAGTCCATATTTAACTCTTTACATTTCCAGAATATTTACATGATTTCAAGATACTGATGAACAAAATTACAAAGGCCATCAAAGCATTGCAAAAATAATAATAATCCAACACTGTGCTTTAAAATTTAGGATCTAAAGTAATGTAGAAGAAATGTCAATTTAGCACCTTGGTCAAAATAGTCATGCTATGGTGTTAACATAAGACACTTTTAGTAAGCAGTAGGGATCTCAGAAGTAACTGTGTCCAGAGGTTGCCAATGACAGCTCATAAGTGTGTCAAAAAGTTCTTCACTTCTCACCATAAATTCTCTGTTCATTCTATGAACATCTACGTTGAGTTGTGGATCTGTTCAAATAAGCAAAAGTCAGTAAGCAAATCACTGGCAGAACTGCATTAAAGAAAACTTTTAAATATAAGCATTCTGATGCCCGTAAGATGTTATAAGCAATCGACTATCTAGTGAACGTGGCCAGTTATGAGAATTGTAGTCCAAAGCAATTGAAGATTACCAAATATCTTTTGTTCCATTTTAAGTACCAAAAATATTGAATACATTCAACAAAGACACTTGGGGCACCTGAAACACAAATTTATTTACTTAACAATACCTTAAAGGCATTGTTAGATTTTGTTGTTTTTGTTGTTTTATCTGGCTATGTCCTCTGAAAGCAATATATTTAGAAACATTTTTGATTTTGAGTTCATGGAGAAAATCAGCAGTGGTTAGAGTGCCAGCTACTTCTGCTGACTGCTGGGTGCCTGCAATTTGGCAGAATGAATCTCACCAGGCTCAAGATTGACTCAGCCTTCCATCCTTCCAAGGTAGGTAAAATGAGGACCGAGATTGTTGGGGGCAATATGCTGACTCTGTAACCGCTTAGAGAGGGCGGTAAAGCACTGTAAAGCGGTATATAAGTCCAAGTGCTCTTGCTAATACAGTTTATTAAGTAAATAAAGTCTTGTAAGTAATACAAATAGTCTTTGCCTATGGATGGCAACCGGGATCAAAAAATCCATTACAAACTGACATGGTTGTAAGATATGTCATGTGATTGTGCCAATGTATAACAATTCTACCAGCCCGAGTTGTCATCATAAAGTGAATCCAACATGGTTGCAGCATTCCATAGTCACATGCTCACCATTTGTGACTTTCTGCTGGCTTTTCCATTGACTTTGCTTGTTGGAAGCTGGCAATGAAGATCACAAATGGTGATGATAGGATCATGAAACACTGCAACGTTGTAATTGCGAGCTAGTTACCAAGCAACTATGATCATGTGATAGCATGGACACTATGAAGGTTGTAACTACAATGACCTAAGCCCCCCCCCACCCCCCTTCAGCTCCACTTTATCTTTAAATGGTGGCTGCATAAGAAGATATTAAGCAAAACCTACCTGTAAGCACAAATTACCCAGAAAAATTAAGGTTGGCTTATTTCAGGAGAAAATTGTTTATACTGCATTAACCGTAGTTAAACTATCTATATTTTACTGAAATAAGTAGGCTTATACAAGATAAATATCTATGGCTTATGCTAAAATAGGTGAATTCACATACAACTGTGAAGTGAAATCAAGTAACTTTATGTTAGAATGCCATGTAAACTCAGGCATCACATGACAACCTACAACCTCTGCTCAACCCTCATGCTCATTTTTATGTAATGCAGTTAATTTCAAACACAGTAAACAGCTACCCTATCAAACAATATTTCAAAGATATTCTTCCAGATTACATTTTCAAAGATCTAACCTGAGAAACTATTTGATGATCTAATTCTATATGGAAATACTAATATCAACATTACCTTCTGTTACTAGATCATCATTTAAAATCATACCACAGGCATCCTGAAAAAAAAAAAAAGAATTTATTATGTCTTAATTTTTTTTAACTTTTGTAGTGAAGAAAAAAACAAACCCCATACATATTTTTTCAACGGAGGGGACAAATATACATATATATGCGCGTCTCTTGACTTTTATGCTTGCCTCCTGTGTATTCAGAGGCATTTTCACTTTTCAGTTTTATTTTCCACTAATCCTGGCGTGTCACTTTATAGAACCAGGGTGCAGACAAAAAAAAATCTTATTTACTTCTTAAAAAGCTTTTGAGGCAAAAACTATGGCTCCAACTTACTTTAAAAACTCCAAATCATGCTTAGCAACAGAGTGAAGGAATAAGGTAACAAAATAACCATATCTGGAAGGGGGGGGGGAATATTCAAGAGACATTTAAGTTCCATTGTAGATTCTATCACATGAGAAAGTACTTCAAGTATCATTGAAATAGCCAAGGCATTTGGCCCATATTTGAGGCCATCAAAACATGCTGAAATTGAAAACACTACAACAATGGTAAACCAGTCCAAAAGTTATCATTTTTAAAGTGGATACTAATGGACTTTGTTAATCATGGACGAAATCTCCAATAATGCCACATTAAAATGGTTAATATTGATGGATTTGAAACTAAAAATTGGTTCATCAAAAAATGGGAAAAGTGATAGTAAGAGAAATGTATAATTTATACTCTTTGGAAAAGGCAAAATTTTCACACAAGAGAATGAATGGATATGTTCCTTTTTGATAGAGGTATTATATTTTACTGCAAGATAGTAGCATCTTAGATAATCTTTGTAGCCTTTCTATTGATAATATAGTACAATGGGATTTTTTAAAAAAACTGTGTATTGTTTCTGATGCTTTTTTCCATTTCTATTAGTTTTTGTTTAATTGCCTCTAGTGTTTGATATTTGCTTATTTTTTTATTGTTCATTTTTTCTAATCTTAAAAAGAAGTGATCCTGAGAGAAATTTTCACAAATGTACTAAATCTAGAATTTTAAGCAGAGTGCTTGTAGAAATTCCCCTTGACTTTTGCCAAGTTTCCTTATCAATCTCTCCTGATTTTTCAAAACAATTTTTTAACTAAAAGAGGAAGTTGGGGAAGCTGACATGTTCAAAAACTGAAGCACCACTTTTGAGGGGATTAGGATTAGAAAAAGTTTCAATGAATAAAGAAGCAATGGTGTATGTGTTCTTTTGTAGAAGATTCAACACCTTTTAGAAAGGCTTGTGTATTGGGTGGAATGAGAATGTGGTATAGATAGTATTTTGCCTAGATGAGGGGAAATGTTGAGCAGTGTTTATTTATTAGGAGCTTATCTTTGACTTTTGTCAATTTATCTTCTATTTTTTTAGCTATTTCATACTCACTGTAATGGTTACACAAATGAGCAAAATACTATTTTTAAAGAAGAAATGGACACCACTATCTTAAATTCAAACATCTTACAGAAATATAGGCCTAAGAACCATTTATCCAGAACCTTTTCAATGTCTCCATTTTAAAGTTTATTGCAGTTGAAGACACTGAAAAGCAGCCAACATTTAAAACATTAAAAAAACTTTATGAACCCTGGCATTTCCAGAAATATTGAACTTCAGAACTTGTAATTTTCAATTAGTAAACTAGGAATCATGAAACTCCAAAGCTCTGAAAGGCAAAAGCTCATGAAGGTACCCCTAAGAAAAATTGATTTTAATTTATGTGAATACCTGAAATAAAGCTGGATTCATTGCTTGTTGTCCCATATTTCCAGTAGGCTGCATCCTTTCATAAGATGCGTAATTATAATCACCATACTCAGCATTATAATCTGCATATTCAGGATAATCTCCATACTCAGGATATTCATAGCGTTCACCAAAACGAGAACCAAATCGCTCAGCATAACGTTCAGAAAAACGATCACCAAAATGCTCAGAGTAACGTTCAGAAAAACGATCACTAAAACGGCTGCCTCGATCAAATCGGTCAAAACGGTCATAGCGATCAAATCGGTCATAACGTTCATTTCTATCATAATTGTACTGGCGGTAATAGTTTTGATAGTCTTGGTAGTAGTCATTATAACTATAGGGCTGGTACCTTTGAAATTCTGCTTTCAGTCTAAAACGCAAAGGGAATAGATTAAATTAGAATTTAAGAGCACTCTTTACAACTGAATAGTGAAAATCCTTCAAAAAAAAAAAAAAGCTGCCACAGGTAACACTACTGTTACTTCAAATAGCAAAAATTCGACTTTTTCTTATTTCTTCTGTTTCCATTTACTTTAAACAAGTTAACTTTGCTTGGTACACATATAAGCAAATCTATTTATGTAAATAAAATTACATATTTAAGAGAATACATTGTGGAAAAAACGTTATACAAAGAGGTTCCCAAACTTTCTACCTCTAAAGGTTTCCAAATTGTGCATTGCAGCATCTTGGGATGCCACAGCAAGCTAACAATTCTGTTTATTAAGTACTTCATTAAAATATCCCACTATACCCTTTGAATTTGCTGTGGTGCCCTGGAGTGCAGTAGCAGAGTGTTTTATAACTACAGTTACATGCTGTATTTTTTTTTAAATTGAAAGTATTCATTGAATTTTGGGGACAAAAAGGGCTTTATATTTTGTTTAGATACTGTTAGTTTCCTTAATGTAAAAGGTAATCATAGAATCAACTCTAAAATTATTATGAACTTTAAAAGGAAATAAAGTCTGAAAACTCATATACATTAAAATATATTACAATTTTATTTTCATCCAATTAGGATAAAAATAAGCAAGCAAAGAAATTCAAGTATCATTAAGGAAGAAGAGAAGGGGATCCAAGTGGCAGAAGAACAACTTAAAACATCCAAACCCCTAGCAGAACAAGTTATGGACCCTGATTACTTATATTCATGCTTTGACACAACGTAATTTTGCAAAGAATTAAAGTGCATTAATTCAGTACTTTTTTTAAAAAAACCAGAAGCTGACCTGTTTATATATTGACTGTTTCATAACAACTGTATTATTAAAAAAGGAGAACAAAACATTTTGAGAAACATTGCCAAAATCTTTTCGTAATCAGATACAATGGCAATTTCACAAGAGTTTTGAAACCCAAAAGATTTGTTAATTTCGCATCAACTACCTTTTAGAAATTCCTAAAGTCAATCGGATTCGTTTTCCGCCTAGACCAGGTGCATTCTGACAATCTTGCAGTGCTCTCATCATATCGCCTTCATCAGAAAATCTGACAAAACCATAACCTCTGTGGAGTTTTAAAAGACAAACTTTAGTAATACTGCCAAAAAAGTACATACAATATTTTATCTTCAATTATATTTTCACTGCACTGCAAATGATTATTTAGAATATCATTTAAATAACACACATGGGCATATTAACACAACCTGGGTCTAAGAGTGCCCACATTTTCAACAATCAGTGACATTAATTCTACTAAAGAAAATGATTTCATACCCTCTATAAACAACAAAAATTGTACCTGATCCCAATTAACATGTGCCCGTTTCTACAATATATTCAAACCATTTCAAATACGAGAAACTATTCTCTTATACATTTTGCATTGTTATAAAATTATCTCATCTGAGTTTTATAAGGAGAGCCTGTTGGGGCTGCCATGCATACTGCCATAAAAGGCTGGGGAGAGGAGGGAAACATGACAAATGGGCAATCAAACTGCATGTGTACTGTGGTAGGAAAATTAGGAGGGGGAAAAGACTGCTTGATGAAGAGCAGAGCTCGGAACCAGTTTGTGCCAGCACCGAAGGCTATGCATCCTAAGAAAAAAAAGGGGAGTTACCCTAAACACCTCAGTATTCTAAAAGCACCTAGGCAGACTCTTATTGGCTGAAGATATGGGGGAGGGCTGGGATGTGGGGAAATTTTCTGTATTGTTTTGGGCGTGGAAAATTTAGTTCTAGCCTGACTTTACTACAGCCAGCATCTTTTAATAAAAGAACCCATGACTTCAACCAAATGGAGTCAAGGGTCTTCTTTCCTAAAGAATCAGACTGGGGCAGGTCAGACAAAGCCTCTTTCTAAAGCATTAACTGATGTAAAGACATCCCAAAATATGTATTTCACTAAAACTGTACCTTTCATTCATATATCACAGTGTACCGCATAACATTAAAAAACAAGAATACAGAATAATGCCGATTCAACTATCTCTGATTGACTTCAAAATATTTGAGAAAATACAACATTTAGGTTTTGATGTAATTGAGAAATCTGTACTACATACTCATGCACATTTTAATTCATAATAGGATACCTGGAATATCCCAGCAGATCTGTGGCCACTTTACAGTCTATACATGATGGATACTTTTTAAAAAAATAGTCATACAGCAAAAAGTCATCCACTTCAGGAGTTAACTCTCCTACAAATATTGCAAATTCAGGCCTGGAAAAACTTTCTGCCCTAACAAATTCTTGCCTTACAAATTCTGGCCTGGAAGAAATTAGAAGAAAAAACATGATTAATCATCTTGCAATGTAAACCTCAGAACCCTGTCTCCACTAGATTACCTTCCAGTGAACGTAACTCAGAATACCTACCTAGGATTGATCCAGCCAATACTTGTTTGTCCTTATTCATGGTGCATCACTAGCACCATACACAGAAAATAGTATCTTGGTCATGTCTGAACAATATTCCTCTTTATTATTATTTTTTAAAAGCAACCAGACTGAAGAAATCCACTTAAGTCTTATGCAGTTAAACTTGGCTAGTGCTAATTTCAGTTATAAGCAGATCATAGATAATATAATTGGCCTTGCACTTTCTGTAACTCAAAATAGCCTTCCTCAATGCACTTAATCCAAATATTACTACCAATATTTATGAGAGAAGGTACCATTTTAAAAACTTGCTTCTCAACAATTACTTCAGAATGACCAAACACTACAAATTTAAAGGTTATTGAGGCAGTTAATGAAATTGCATTTTCTTTTTATTTGCTCATTGGGTTTTTTGCCCTGGTAAAAGGATTCATCCATGAAGTTTCTTAAAATTATACAAAAATAATTTATATACCTTCTGGGATTTTTTTTTTTGAATTTTCACATTTAGCTACATCTTGGGATTTTCTGATGGCTATGTCATTAAAATATTAAACAGGTTCAACTTTCAATCTGAACCCTTTAAAATTAAAAAAAAGAAAAAGAAAAGAAAAATATCTACATTTTAAGTTATCTACTAATTCTATTTTTTGTTTTGCTTATACAATTGGAACTGTTTGGAACTTTCTACTCCTATCAGCTTGTTAAATATTTTGATGTCTTTTTATGAGTTATTCAGCACTTGTGTATCTAACATAAAGATGTATTTTCACATTCCCAATTCTAACTCTGTTAAATAGAAGACAAAGTGATCAAGTAATAGAAGCATATACAACAGAACCATGCCTTTTATATTTCAGATTAACCATTCTCCAAAACACTGTATTAAGTACTAGTGTTGTTTTGAACCAAACAGTAAACACACACACATACACACACACTTTAATGCCAGCAAACATGATAAATAATGCCAATTTAATACATACATCCTATCTACATACTCCATTCAGTTGAAGGCTGAATAACAAGTAACCTTCAAATAACTTTATCATTAATTCTCCTGGCAAACAGAAAATTCAGTAACTCACTTGTGATAGTTTGAATCTAATTAGAAACTATGTTTTTTTCTATATTAAATAAAACTCTCCAGCTTAATTTATGGAAACAAATGATGCTTGCCAATATCTTGCAATGACCTTCATTTCTAATTCAGATCCCAACTGTGATGCTATTAATAGGCTTCTTGGCTTTCTAGCATTGGTAAGGCTGTTGTGAATTTTCAGCATGCATCCTCCAAAGTGAAGTTTATATAGTGCAGAATGTAGCAAAACCTTCAGCATCGAAGAAAAAAGATCCAACAGAAAATCACATTTTATGTAACACCAAGAAGGTAAAATTAAGAAACCTTCTGGGAAGTAGTAATCAACCCCAAAGGGCCAAATGCAGCCATCGCGCTGAGAAGTTCTCCAGATGCTTGTCGAACAATTGCCTAATGCTTTTTTTGACTTACTTCATTTCACATTTTTTTCAGTTCGGATCCACTGAACCTTTGGAAGTTACTAACTAAATTTTACACTTCTGTACAACTGCCTTTTTATTTTTTGTTTGTTTTTTTAGCTATGTGATGAGCAGCTCTTCAATTCACAAAGCTTTGGACTATTGAGTGTGTTGGTTCTGATTAAATTCTCACTACTTGATTTAGGTATTATATACAGACAAGAGCCAGTTTTTTTTCTTGTCAGTTTCAAGATTTCTTCACCTGCTTGGAATACTAGTAAAATCTGGTCTTCCTGCTCTTGCTTTACTCTTTTTCTTCCGTTTTTTGTGGGGGGATCTCCACCACAGAAGCAGGCTTTCCTTATTGGCCTTTCCCACTGTATCCTGCTAGAATGAAAAACAGTTATACAGTATTTCATCTCAATTAAATGCCTCCCTCCCTCTCCCGATCACCACCTCGGTGATTTCCCCATATTCACCTTTCCCTTGACAGAAGCCTGGGGTCCCATCTCTCCCTCCGCCTCCCATGAGGGAAAGCAGCCTCTGGGGAAAATGCCTGGCAAAAATAACAGAGCCAAAGGATTGTATGAAAAGCCATATTCCCCTGACTTAGTCAAGCTGGCTATCGGAGTTACTGCTTTTCACGCCAACATTTTGACTCCCTCGGCTTCCTTCATTTAAAAAAAAGGTTAATCATTAGAGGCTGACTGAGCATGTCATTTTAAGATTTTTTTTTTTTTTTTTACAAAAGGACCCTGCTTATTCATTCAGAAAAACTACAGCAGAATAAGGTGTAGAGCCATGTCACTCTTTCTGTTTATTTAAACACAGAAAATGGACTTAGGGCTCTTCTGTAGTAGGGTGTTGGCCAGTATCTCAAGGAAATTGTCTGGAATAAGTCTACAGCACAGCCGAAGGAACTCATGCCTGGTTTTCACAACAGTAACATGCAAGTGACAAAAGTGTCACATTCAAAAAAATAAATAAATAAAAGCCAGCAGAGGCAACTATATGGGAAGGAAAAGGAAAGGAGGCCATAACCAAAGTAATCTCACCTCAGGGATACAGATTCAACATTTTTATTAAGTTTTACTTACATGAATGGTAGTAGTTCCAATGAAGGCATCTTAAATAGTGAGTGTTATAGGAAAGTCCCACCACAAGAACTCACTGCAATAGTGCAGAAAGCAAAGTTTCGTGTTCTGTCCCCAAGCTGCTTCAGTTGGCGTGATTAAGGATTTCACAGCAGGGGAGAACAATTTGTCAGAAACTTATCTGAGGGAAATATATGGCTAAAAACCCATCATCCCTTCCCCAGGAGTAATGGGTTCAAGTTTGCCATTTGCCAAGAATTATGGACAAGGTTGCGCTTCCCCCAAATTAGCTAATAATACAACTGCATTTGTCAAATTATCTTACCTGGCTAGCCATTGTAGAAAGCTATCTTCGCAAGAAAAAGAAGCCTGTAGTAGCTGCTGTATTAAAAAAAAAAGATAAGGTTAATGTTTATTACATCACTGTACCAGAAACAATCACAATGCTCTATACCAGATGTCTGCTTTCTCTGATTTTGTTGCCCTCAATAAAGAAAGGTTTTATTTTTTCTGTTTGTGGAATTCATTTTTCCAGTTCTAATTAAAATGTGCCATCCTAAAATAGAAGCTATTTTTGCAAATTATTGTCACTAGGAAGTAAAGACAGGGAGAAAATATTTAATGAACTTGCGGTCATGTGATCAAAATTTAGGTTTGGCATTGGCAGCCCACGTGCATTTGCAACTGCACTTGAACTCTCCCCATGTCTGTCCTACAGTCTCTGCACTTCCCTATGCTCTCTGGCCTCCTCCATTGACCTTCAACTATATTCTTCTTACCACTGCTGAGAAGACATGCTCAAAGTAGCTGCTGGCTTTCATGCAGCTTCCTCTTCAGCAGCTGGAGAAAGCAGTGAAGGTCAGGAGTAGCCCCCCCAAGAAGGTACCAGAGTGCAAGGCAACCAAAAGACAGAGATGAGGTGCGGGGAGATCGGCAATTGAGGGAAGTTGGAAGTGGAGGCGAGAGTCGCAGGGCAGGAGGATGAGGCCTGGACTAACAACTGCATCACCAGAATTGTTGTCTCTAAACAGTGCAGTCACGTTTCACTTAACAACTGATACAGCAACAGAAATTCCAATCACAATTAGGATCATTAAGAGTGAAGACTATTTTTACCCTGCTTTCTATAAAACACTTAACTCTGTACCAAACTGTAATTCTGTATCCATTGTTTTCATTTAATACATAATCCCCAAATAAGCATTTAATATCTAGCCTAAATACATTAAAGTATACAAAAACTCATTTACAATAAAACTGCAGTTCATAAAATATTAAATTATAACTGAGTTAGATCTATTGTCTCCAGATAAGGACAGCTTGGTATGGGTTCATTAGACAGAAATGGTAAAAGCCATTTTCAATTTAAAAAAAAAATCAGTTTCAGGAGCAATACTAGTTACAAAGCTATTGCTTTACAATAAAATCTTCCCCATACCCAGAAAAGTCAAATAATGTAGATTTGTAACATTCACCAAAGTAAGTTACATATTTTACCAAGCATAATCTTGGTCTACATTAAAAAATGTGGGGGAAAATTGAAGGGAAAAAAAATATGAATGACCTGAAATCTGTACCGATTTCAGTAGTAATACAAAATCTCTAATTACAAGGAAACTATCAACAGATTCACAATCTTTTAAAGAAATGTTTGCTTTGCAAGTGGGTATTCACATTTATAAATACAATTTCAGCTACTTTACTTACCAGTGACTGTCAAATACACAAACTTAAGAAATTAAAAGAATATATCGGCAGAAGGTGGCAAGTACCAGAACAAATTGAGATCTTGCCTCCGGTTACTTTAACCATCTAAACCGAAATAACAAGCAGTACTTTCTTCCTCTAAGGTTGTTCAAGAACTTGCGATTTCACTACAATAAAAACAAACAGGGTAAGAATTAGAAAAACTGTTTCATAACACAACCTGTACTAAACTTAATAGGTAAAAAAATTAATTATAATATTTGCACATCTGGTTCAAACATCAACATTAATGATTTGGTTTTGATTTAGTAAAGGGGCAGACTTTTTTGTGACTATGTCCCAGCTTCCAATATCTGCAAAGTACAGCTGATGGTACCACCTTGTCATTGGAAGGTGCCAACTCCAAATCTTTTTTTCAGGGAAAAAGTGTGTTAAACTTTTTTTTTAATTTGCCAAATTTCAAATACATTTAAATAAAAATCTCGATGCCACAAAATAAGTGGTTTTTTTTTGTTTTGTTTTTTAAATTAGAAAATCATTGGAGTATGAATGTTTCACACTCTGAGAAAAATGGGCCTGACTTCTAAAGGGTTGCTTTTCATTTCTGTAATTTATATTTTTAGTTTTTCAATATATATTTTGTCCAGAACTAGAAAAAGAGGGTTCTTAGACAGAAGTGTCATCTCTTTCTCTGATCAAGCCCTGTTAGTTTTAATCTGTCAACATTTACTTTTGAATATGGATTTATGAGGTGAGGGGGAAGAAAAACCTTCACCACCCATGGAGTTGTGCCTACTTAAACACCAGCTAAAATTAAATGGCTATTTTTAAACAGTCGGAATACTAAGCTTCGTTGTCGGAAAATAAACCCCAATCTTTTCGATATAACGCTCACTCTGAAACACCGACGTTGAAGATTACAATATTTAAATGAGAAAACTCATTTCAGTTGCAATGGATGTTTTTTCTCTCCTTTTTCTAAAGGGAATTCAAAAGGTGGGGGGGGCTGGGCGCACGCGCGGAGGTAGGCATGAACAGGCTAGCGCATACACGCGAACCTATTCATTCATATGGCTCCCACCCCGTTTATATCCCAGTTACCATTAAAAGCAGCTCTGGAAAGTCTATCCAGAGGCAGCTTAAATAGGACTGAACGGAAAAAACAAGAGGTAAAGGGCACCAGCGCGTGCTAGGCCTCCCTATTGGGGGCGGGGCAGAGCTCACGAGGTGCTTAGCGGGGGGAGGGAAAGCCGTGGGGGGGGGGGAAGGTTCGGAATCGGGAATCTCTTCATACTACTTGCCCATGAGGCGAAGGACCCCGTCCCTTTGCCCCCTCAAACCCCAAATACTAGCATCACCTTCCGGACAGCCGCCATCACTAGCCGTTTGGAAATCGCAACGCTCGCTTCCGCCGCCGTCGTCGTCGATCGGCCTCCCCTCTGCCGTCTTTCCCTCCCTCCCCTTCACGGACTTCCGCCCGGGGTTGTCTTCGCGACTGCCTGTTTCCGTTTCTTTTCTTTCTTTTTCTTTCTTTTTTTTTTTTTAAACGAATCGTTCCTACCTCTCCCCCCTCGCGACAAAAGAAATTCAAAGATTCGGTCTGGAAACGGGGAGCGGCCACCACTTCGCGGCTCCTCGCTTCAGGCGGTGGAATAGACAACCCTCTCCCTCCGAGGCAAAAAAAAAACACAAAAAAACGGACAGGCGGCTAGGAGGCCGCGCTACAACTCAAAGGCAAGAAAAGGACCCCGCGCTAAGTAGGCGTCGCTAAGGAAGGCCGAGAAATGGAGGTCCTGGGGGGATGTTACGAACAGATTCTGTTCGGATTCTCCATACAACCGGCCGAGGTAATTTTTTTTTAAAATGAGAAAGGGCGGGGCGGGGGACACAGAAAAGGCGAGAGTTTTCAGTCGCTGACGGGTCTTTTTTATACTCACCACGAGGGCCGCACGCTACGCGAGCGCCGCCGAAATCGCGAGCTACCAACGCGTGCGCAAGGAGCAACGGGGAGGCGCGTGAGCTCGCCTTCGTCTCGCTCAATTTCCTTCCCAGAAGCCTTGGCGGCGTAGCTCGTGCTCGGCTCCGCCTCCGTGAGTTCCGGCGTGGTCTCGTGGTTGGGGGGGGAGGAGGAGGAAATGAGACTTTCCCGCGCGGTCGACCGAACACGCTTTTCCCTCACGGCTCTCCTCTGTCCTTCCGGGCAGCGTGCGTTGCCGTCCGTGCGGGATGACGTCATGCGCGGCAGTTTTTTTTTTTTCTTTTTCTGTTTTCTTTGATACGGGGCAATGTGGTGTCAGCCTTTAGCTTAGACCAGCTTCAAAGAGGGCGGTCTAAAGAGGGTTTTAATAGAACATGGGTCTCCAACCTTGGCAACTTTTAAGACTTGTGGACTTCAACCCCCAGCTTTGCTGGCTGAGGACTTCTGGGAGTCGAAGTCCACAAGTCTTAAAGTTGCCAAGGTTGGAGACCCCTGTGATAGAGGGTGGTTAGCGCCTTCCGATCTTGGTGGTTGTAAGCAACGGGTTTTCCAACCTCCACACCGGAATAAACCTCAAAACGTGGGTTCCCAATTTAAACATGGCCGGAGTTTTAAGGGACGTCTGCTGGGAAGCAATAACCTGTCACCTGAAGGAAACAAGATCTCCCCCCCCCCCGCTTTTTTATTGTGGTGCTGTACATATTAGGACATTGTATGATTTCAATGCAGTAAACTTTCTACTATAAAATTAAATGATTGGCGTTGTATTTTAAAAGCTTAAGATATTGAAAATAAAAAGAAAATAAAAAAATTCTATCTGTGTTAAATGCCTGTGTTTTAAGCATCCAAAGTGTATGCTGTAGGATTTTTAAAAACACCGCAGTTCATACCAAAGTATTAATTGTGTAATAGTCTTAAACTAATTTCTTAATAGCAAGACTTCCCTTGTATTGTTATTTAATGTTTGTGTGTGTGTGTGTGTGTAAAGAAAGCAAAATTTAACATAACTTGTAATATAGCAGGATTTTTCCTGTATTACTCCTCCTTTATTAGGATTACATAGCCTCCAAAGTGGAAAGACTCAAGGCAGCTTACATTAAAACTCAATAAAAATAATCAATCAAAGAAATACAAACCTATTGATTTTCCATCACTACCACCATTACCAACCAAGTAATGTAGCCTGAGGGGGAATCAGTTCATGTAATGGATACAAAAGAAATCAATGCATATGAAGTTGGCTAGTTAGTGTAGAAAAGCTGTTGGTATGCTTCGTTTTTTTTGTGTACTTAAAAGTGCAATTTGATTGCCTGAAGTGAAGTTAAGAACTGAGCATTTAAAAAATAAATAACAAATTTTGTAAAAAAAATGAAAAAGAAAAAGGTTTGCAGAATAAGAATGTCAATGGTCTACGTAAAATAACATCCTTTAGTTATGGAGAGGCTCTTCAACCGGAAATCACTAACAAAATCCAGTGTTCTTTTAAAAAATGAATATGTGTCATAAGCTTTCATTTTGTGGAAATGCAGTTCGATTACATAGATACAGTTTTAACTGAAATTAGTTATATATTGTAAAATCCAGAGGCCATGAAATAAATATCTAAGCCCACTAGCTGTAATGGTAGTAATTGACAATAATAATTGCTGCTAACAAGTTGGATTCTGATCAATGGGAAAAGACTGAAAGTATCATGGTTTGGTTAATGATCCTGTTTTTACTTTCAAATTGAAAAATGCCTGTCTCCATAAGGTAGATAGTTTACAGTCATATAGCAGGATAATCTGCTGTAATCTACTACTACAAAGCATTTTCTAAATATATAATTTCTATTTTAACAACTCTGCTAATTTATACTAATGTAATCTGACATCCTTTATTTTGAAGAAGAAACTTAAAGCTTAGTACTGAATGTTTCCATTCAAGCATTTGAGTCAGGTTATGTCATTCATCAAAATTTTTGATGAGCATTTGGAAGATGCGATGCTACATATACTAGATGAGGATCTGTGAAGATAGTGCTTTTCAAACAAGTTTTACTTTGTTTTTTAAAAACGTTACATTGGAATCTTACAGGAAAATCACAGTAGCTGATTTGACTGATTTTTAAACAAATTTTATTCCTGATATTTTTTTTTTCAGAACTGGGAAGTTGCTCCCGATTTTACTCATCATGCCCACAGTGCTTCGCTGTCGGCAGTAGCTGTGAATGAAAGATATGTAGTCACTGGGAGCAAGGATGAAACTATACAAATCTATGACATGAAAAAGAAGGTAGAACATGGAGCATTGGTACACCACAATGGTAAGGAGTTCATGCTTCTTGTTTTAAATAGGACGAGTGAGGCGTAGTTGTCAGGAAGATTGCAGTATGGTGAAAACTCATTTTGAGGAGAAGTGTTATTTTTACAAATGTATGAAATTGAAGGGTGTATTATCCTTGGAACCATGTCATTTGCATAATCACATTATTATAAAAAATAAATTAGCTCACTTTTAATTTATATCATTTGTCTAATGTTATGCATTAGACATTCCTATTAATTTCATTGGCAGACAGAACTATTATGTTAATGAATGGGAAAATCAGAAGAGGCAAAGGCTCCATTTGTATATTATTATTTTAAGAAAAATTACTTTAATCCAGTATTTGGTTACATTGACAAACATTTGTTTCCTATTGTGAGATTCAAAAATAATGTCTTTCTTGATGCCAAGAACTGAGAAGTTTAACAACAAATATGCTTCTTCAAAAGAGAAATGGAACCAAGTACCTCCTTATTAGACTTTCACGTAAGAATGCTAATAGGAATTGCCCTAATGCAGGGGTGTCAAATTTGCAGCATCACATTGTCATCACATGACATATCGCAACTTTCCCCCCTTCGCTAAATGGGGATGGGCATGGCCAGCACATGATGCATCTGGCCCGCACATGATGCATCCGGCCCACAGGCAGCGAGTTTGACACCCCTGCCCTAATGGGTTCAAAAGGGGTAGTTCAGGTTCTCACTTCCAAGAACATGTCCTATGCTGCCAAATAATTAAACAAGTTAAGAGAAGGAACAATCTCTTGAGGAAGCAATGCACATGAACATGGCCTAAAAGGATATCCTTGTTCATGCTGGAGAATAGAGCCTGAAACAACTATCTATGCAGAGTGTTTGTGGCTAACTTGCTTGTTAGCCCTGCTGGTAAAGGACTGTCATTTCAGGGGGGCCTGTTGCTGATACCATAGATTTTTTTTATTTTGCGCCACTAGTTTGGGCTAGTGGCTAAGGTATCGGGAGAATTAGAAATCGGGAGACCATGAGTTCTAGTCCTGCCTTAGGCATGAAAGCCAGCTGGGTGACTTTGGACTTCTCTCAGCCCAACTCACCTCACAGGATTGTTGTTGTGGGAAAATAGGAGGAGGAAGGCATATTACCGTGTTTCTCATATAATAAGGCCGGGTCTTATTTTTTTTTGAGCCCTGAAAAAATGGCTAGGCCATCTTTTCGGGGGTGACTTAATTTCCTCCCCCCCCCCTTGCATCTTAGGGCGGGCGGGGACGGCTTGGATGTTGACCTCAGCGTTGGTGGGGCACTTTGTATCAGGGTCAACGCAGGCAGCACCATATCCGGGTGTGCAACAAAAGTACTTCCTAACAGCAAGCCCCCCCCGCCATTTTCCCTCCATTTCGCATGTTTTAATATAGGCCTTAATTTGGGGGGAGGGGCTT